AAGATGAAATATTTTATCAATCTATAAATAACGTCAGGAAAATAGTATAAATAATGAAATTGAAAGTGTATAAGTGTTTAAGAAAACCTTGAAAATATTTGCTTTTATTTAAACTTTGTGTAATGAGAAAAAAACAAGATATTTTTTAAAAAAGTTCTTTTCATATCAATTATCAAAAGTATTGAATTTATGCCATTAAAACCCATCATCGCTATTCAAGAACATTCTGTATCTCTATGAGAATAGAAAAAAATTATTTTTCTAAACTACACTGTGAGCATATTGAGCTTTCATAAATCTCTATTAGTTATTCCGATAAAATATCTTTCATTGTCGAAAAACTAAGAAAATTGATCAACTTTTAATGTTTAATAATTAACAATGAATGTTATCATTTCTACTCAATAGTTATTACATGAACAAAAATAAAAAAGATTTATACAAAAGTTCACTAAAACAACAAATTTTCATACAAATTTGAATCATGATATTTAGGTCGCGTACATTTCGAAAAAAAATCTAAATTTTAATAATAATTGTAAAAGAGTAAATTATTAAAAGAAACATAACATATTAGATGAATAAATTTATTCTATATTTTTCGAGTTTAATAATAATAATTAAACTGAATAAAATATATAATTAATCTATAGAGTTTTTATAAAACAATTTCCCATTATTACTTTATAATTAAAAAAAACCTTATCCTTGTTATTGCAAAGAAAACGACAATAATATCCCACGATACTTTTTTTTTTTTTTTTTTTTTTTTTTGAAGAAAAGCGATAAAAATAGAACTATTGTTCCTTAAGTAACTCTATCGTTAAACGATATTTTTATACTTGAAAATTATTTTATTTAATAAAGTGGAATGTTTGATCATATTATTAGTATTTAAATACTATATGAAAACAAGATACTTGAAGGTACGTTAATAAATGAGTTTTTCTTGTTTTTTTTTTTAACTTAAAAAAATTAAAATAATCTTATACTAAATCATTTGAAAAAACCTAATGGATACTACATGTTCATTATAACTGAATAGTAAACAATATTACACTTTGTTATTTAATGATAGACTATAACTGAGTACAATCAGAATATTGTATTTTAATAATCAAAAGAGAGATAGATCTATTATTATCATTATCTATAACGTCATTTTATCTTCAAGCAACATAGCGTGTTTATTTTTATCAATAACAATTAATCTTTTATATTTACTTGCCTATTGTTGTTGTATCGATGAACATATATATACACACACACACACACACACACACAAAGATATATCGATGTAATTCGTTTTCTTGATTTTTAAAACTTAAAATTTGATAAGTTTATATTTAAATATATAGTTAATTTAATTCAAAGAGCACATTAATTGGATATAGTAGTATAAAAATGATTAAAAAAAAGTAAATGAATGCATAGATGTTTACGACATTCGGTTTTCCTTTTATGTCATTTGATTTCGTGTGAAGTGAATTGGAAGTGATAGTTAACCCTGTGTATGTCTATTTGAATGATAAATTCTATTTGATCATTAAGCATTACTGATGTACGGCAAGCAATACTTTAGTAATTAAGAAGAGAAACGGAAGGAACTATTAGTTGTGCTCATTTCTCAAATAGAAAAAAAAAAAAAAGAAAAACCCAGATACAAATAGAAACAGCACGTTCATTGCCAATGCATCTCACAGATAGACGATGACAAGTGGTTACCTCGTTTCTTTTTTTTACTGTCATTTACATGAAGAGCAATTATTTCTTTTTAACTGTTGACAGAAGACATATTCATCAAAGATTTAATGTGTTTCCAAAAGAAAAACAATTTCAAGTAAGTGAAAATTTGTTTCTTATTCAAACAAGACAAAAAAGAATTGAAACTAATAAGAGAATTATTTCTAAGAGTGAAAATATATCTTGATTATTTAAACAAATGTTCAAAAGATAATACAAAATTCTTAGAACATAATCACTTATAATAATTCATTTATTCAACAACAACAAAAAACCAATGAATTTTATTTAATGGTGCATAGAATAATTTCGATGACCTTTTAAAGTTCATTTCATTGTTAATAAAAATTCAAGATTCAATAGGCAACCAAAACAGATGTATATAGATAGAACTTGGCAAGATAGAAAAAAAGTTCTCATAATAAGATAAACAGAATTATTTTGTTCTAAAAAAAATCACGACATGAAACATGAAACAAACCAGATCATAATTTCTAAAAATATCATTATTCTTTTGTTAATATACATCGATCGTAGGAAAAAATCCAACGAATAATATTCAATCAAATTATAGATTTATTAAAATTTTCTTCTTGTTTTTTTTTTTTTATTTTTTCGAGTAAACTTTAGAATAAACGAAATTATCATTTTTGTCGATTTTCATCATATGAAGAATCACTCTAAATATGCTATGATTTTAATGACAGTATAGAATATATGATTAAATAAATAGTTGTTATAAAACTTATTTGTTTTTACAAACAATAAATTGTCAAACGTGAAGATCTTCTGTAAAATTTGTTTAAAAACAAAACACAATTTATTGATGTGTAAGTAAGTATGATGACTTTTCTATATTGCTTATAAGAAAGAATTATTCGACGTCAATGAATATAATGTTTTTTTGAGCGATCGGAAAATTTTTTATCTACATGATCTTGAGGGTGTGACGGTTGTATTTTGCCTTTAGGTCTTTTTATAGTTAACTATTTACATTAAATTATACAAACGGAGAGAATTTTCTTATTTTCTATCTTTGGGAAAATTGATAAATATCTATATTCATTTTGTTTATTTTGTTCTCGATCGATGGCAACTTCTATAGTTCAATATGAGACAACTTATCTATCATAAAAACAAAAGCAGACGATGCATGTGTATCATTCTGCGTACGTGTCACTTTCAATTAGAGATTTATTTCGCACTGTCGAACTTAGAAAATAACTCGGCATTATTATAGATAAAAAGCTCAAATGCAAATAATCAGTTGCACATAGATGATATCTATCTGGAGTTAGAGAACGAAAATTTGTTTTTTTTTTTTTTTTTATTATGAATACATAATTATTAGTCTAGTTTTTCTGTCTCCCATATCAGTAGCATGAATGAACAACAACTGAAGTAGTTAGCACAGATTCTATTGGGAATATGTTTATTCTTGTTCACTATATTTCATAAGAGATTATTTAAATATGACAAAAGCAACTTTCGAAGAGTAGAAGATTAGAAAAATAGAATTTGGGTATGAATGTTGTTAGCCTTCTCTCGACTTACTCCTATACTTACACTCTGTTGAAGATATGCATTGAGATATTAAAATACTGTTAATTTCTTATATATTAATCTCGATAGAATAGTTCATCTATATCTACTCAGAATTTAATACGATGAAATCTATCAATTTACGAATCTCTCAAAGATTTAAATAATTGAACAAACTATGAATTTGATAATGACTGAACGATTGCAAGTCCGTTTGTAAAATCAAAGAAACGTGTTAAATATGAACTTCTTGATGAAAAATGACAAAAATTAATTTTGACTTTTCATTTAATAATAGGAGATCTATACTTTAAACGAATAAGAACTTTGTTCAATTTTTTATATCAATGTGAACTTATTCAAATAAAATTATTTTCTTGTATTTGTTCCATTTATTCTTTATGTTAGGGTCAAGTATCATGAGCTCATCTATCAGAGTTTCATCTGTCAGTGTACCATTATTTAACACGAATACAGAAGAGAATAGAATGAATTTTAAAAAACAGGATTTTATTTTTTGAAAATTAACGTCTTTTAAATTATAGAAAAAGAAAACTATTAAAAACAAAATACATAATGTGATTATTTAGTATTGAGAATTTTTTTTCAACAAATTTTCAATCTAATGAGTATTACAAACAATAAAAATAGGGCAATGTTTATGATGACTATTAGAAAGATATATTGTTCTATTGATTCATCAGATTTTCGTTAACAAAGCAAAAAACATTCAAATGATATTTGTTCATCTACTGATTCTCTCGATGGCAATCTTTTTAAATAGTTGAGTTTAAAAAGCCAATGACGACTATGTACAAATTTTCCAAAGTTCTATCGTGTAAATTAATGATGAGCAGGACCAATCATTTTTTGTTCCAGTCCCACCTAATGAGAAAAAAATGTTTGTTCTAGTTTCATGGTTAGTAATGCGTGTCCTAGTGAAAAATGCGACATAATTTTGTATCAATGTCAAAAAAATCGAAACATCTTGGACAACTCTCATAACATCTGATATCGTCCGTTTAGAATGTTCATTACTTTTATTAATTCATTAATACCTCTTCTATTCTTTACATTTATGTTCGACAACTTTGTTGTTTATAAAAGAAAAAAAAAACTATTAATTTTACGATGAAAATTGTAACAAAAAGTATTTAAATGATCGTTATTTAATAATTCTTGTCGAGATCATCTTATCTATATTTATTGTGAACATTTTTCTTGTCTTGATAATAATTGAATGATTCATAAATGGATGAGAGTTTACTAATATCTATCTTATTTTTGTAAAAAAAAGAGACAAGAGATCTGTGATATAATCAATAATAAAATTGTTTTGTATCCAAAACAACGAAGACTACATACATACATACATATATATATATATATATATATTTGAATATATGACAAATTGAATTAAAATTATGCTTTTGTGGCAAGTATTCTTTTATTTAATAAAAAGAATTTTGTTGTTGAAAATATAGAAATGATTATCTTTGTCGGTTAGATTTAGAGCGTATCGAGAATTTTTCTCTTTCTTTTCCTATGGATAGTGAAATAATCGATGACATATAGATTTGTTTTTTGTGAACAGAAACAGAAAACCTAGTCCGGAATGATAAGAACAGATGTATACAAATATTTTATGCATCAATTAGTTAAATTTTGTTTTTGTTTTTCTTTCTAGATGAATTATACATTTAATAAAATGTAAAATGGCAACAAAATATTGTGGAACATTCCTCCATAGAAATTCTTCAATATTATCTTCACATTCAAATCATTCACATATTAGTGATGCTGAATGGATAACAAATAGTATATCATTAATTATATTTGTTTTTGCATTTATTGGAAATACAGCTGCACTTATTGTTATGTTTGGTTCGAGAGGACCAATACGATTAACAAACAATAAATATTTAGCTAATTTAGCATGTGCAGATTTATTACGTGCATGTTTTATGCCGTTTACTATAATTGCAAGAATGAAAAGAAACTTTATGTTCGGAAAGATGATTTGTAAAATTTTACCAATTGTTCAAGGTAGAATTTTATTTATTTAATATCATTAATAATGAATTGTGAATAAGGTTTTGTTTTTTTCTTTTCTAAATTTAAGAATGAATGAAAAATTGTATAATTTCATTTTCTAGAGTCTAAATGATAAGAAGAAACTGAGACAATTTGTTTTTTCATTATCTAGATATCTATGAAGCGTAACAAAGATTATTTTCTAGTTTTATTTGATATTTGACGAAGTGGAATTTATATGAGAAATTTATAATTCTATATCAAAGGTTTTATTGAAAATTCATTTTCATACTTATTTTATCTACAGTTCATTGAATATGATCGAATCTTTTATATTTACAATTGAAGAAGTTTATATCTGTATAAAAAAATCGAGTATGTAATTATAAAACTTGAAATAGAAGGTCATGGACTAGCAGTAGACTGTGATGTAATTGGTATGACATGTCACATCAGTTTTTTCATAAGGTGCAAAAAAGATACAAAAGAAAGAATTTTCTTAATGTCCATAAGGATTAATATCGTATGCCTCTAGTCAAAAGTAATCTTGTGGAAAACATCTGCTTAATTATAATTTAATCTACATGGTATTTTAGAAAAATAGTTTTTATTTTCATAAACGAAATGAAGATAATTTAGTTAAGAAATATTTGCCCGTTCGAAACGCATCAAGGATAGATTTTTTCTTTCGAACATCAAAGAAAGTAATTTCTTTGGAAGAAAAAATTCTTCATTTATTTATTCTATAGATATTAAACAACATGCAAAAGTTCATTGTCATTTTTGTTTTTTGATCATGAAATGATCTTAGAAAAAATAAGCTATAATAATGTTCATAGATAGACTATTGAATCGCGTTATAATTAGTTAGTTATTCATTTAGATTTCATTCTTTATAAACCTGTTCTTGACATAGTTATACAAAAGAATAATGCAAATGTTGACAAAATCATAAATAATTTTCAAAGAAAAACTTTAATATAATCTTCTAAAGATTACAACGTAAATAATTTTTACGGCTGAAAATAAATAATTAAATAGAAAGAAATCAATAAATGATCTACGAAAAAAAAAAAACTAAAAATATAATAGAAAATGAATATAAAAAATATATTTTCTTTTCTTTTTTTTTCTTCTAGGTTTAAGTGTAGCTGTGGATGTTTTTACTCTTGTTTGTATAAGTATTGAACGTTATTTAGCTATATGTCGTCCATTACTTATATTAAAACTTCAATCGTTTCGATTTTCTAATCTTCTTAATGGATTTATTCTATTTTTAATATGGTCATTAGGTCTTTTGACAGCTTTACCAAATTTATATATGTATAATTTATGTTCTTTGCCTACACCTGGTCGTTATAAATGTGAAAAAACATCCCCACATGAATTCGATGAAAAACTTTATATGATCGCTTTAGATGGTAAAAATTTAAAGAAAAAAGAAATTTATATTTTAAAGAAAAAAAGAAAATTTTTATTTTGTTTAGCTTTTTATTTTGTGATACCAATGGTTGTCATGATTGTTCTTTATACATTAATTATTCGAAAAATGTATAGAAATAGTACAGCAGTACAAATGAGATCATTTAAAAGTAAATATTTTATTTATTAAAATTTATTTATTAAAATAAAAATAAAAAAATTTAATTAATTTAAGATAGTACTCACAGTAAAATTCGTTCAAATTCTTCATCTCCTCAATTAATTCCTTTTACTAAACGTTCTAAATTAAAATCAATAAATTCTGATTTAATTGAAAATAAAAGAAGAGAATCATCAATTTATGAAAAATTTGGTCAACGATTATCATTTCATAGTAGCACGAAATCAAAATCAGGTTTAAGTGAAGATGGTCAAATACAAAATCCTGAATTAGATATTTCGATAACAAAACAACAATATAATCGAACATATGCAATATCTCATCCAATAACTCAAATTTTATCTGATGATAATCATTTTCTAAATAATTATAATAATAAAAGAAAAAAATATTTTCATCGTTTAAATTCTCAAAAAACTAATACTCCATGTCGTTGTTCACCATCACAAGGTTTATGTCGTACCGATCGTAATCGACGTAAAGCACTTAAACTTTTAATAACATTAATTATGGAATTTTTTATTTGTTGGACACCATTATTTATTTATCATACAATTGGAACATTTAATAAAAATTTTTATCGTTCAACACCAAATATTTTTGTTGATTTAATACTTCTTTTTTCATTTGCATCAGCATCATGTAATCCATTAACGTATTATTTTATGTCAAAACGTTACCGATCAGCTTTATATGCTTATTTACGATGTTGTTCCTTTAATGGAAATCAACAAATATTTATTAATCACAATAACCAACAACCACATTATATAAATAAACCTTTACGTTCCAATCAAAAAGAAAATTCTCCTGAGTTAAAACACAAAGCACAACTAGAAATTGATACTCATGATAATTCTCGATTAAGAGCTAAAACATATTAGATTATATTCATTATCTTTTTATTTCTATTATTATTATTGTGACACCATCTTTTATGTGTATTTCTTGAAGATATTTTTTGGTTCTGCTTTCATGCATGGACATGTATACTCTTTTCATTAATATATTCAATTATATTCATTCTCGGTATTTTTCTCTCTGTATGGATCATATAATGTTCTTTATCGTAATTTCTAGTGAGTTTTATTTATCTTTTCGTGCTGTCGTATATATATAATTATGCCCATTCAGGGATGCGATCAAGAAAAACAAATGTGTGAAAAGGTCATAATCGGTGCAAACTGATCTGAATTTGAGAATGTGAAACTGAAAAAAAAAACAAATCTTCAAATCGAATCTACTGACTAAAAAACAACAACATTTTGTTGAAAGCGAAGGAGTAATTCTTCCTTTCTTCTTTAATCGACGACACATTCCTGTGTTCATTGTTTGAAACAATAAATCAGTGGATCAACATATGTGACAAGATAACGCTTTATTCTGACTTAATGGCTTATGAATGGTCGACATCGTTCGCAAGCATTACATTCAACATTTACATTTTGTTTGAATCTTTTTATTTTTATTTTGAACTGTTCTTGTCACACGATCAAATAAAGTAAATCAAGGATGGAAGTGTGTAAGGCCACAGAGGAACTCATCAATGTTTTACTGTTTAGGTTTCAAATTTGACATGTAGTCTGACTGAACTCGTCGAGCTTAGTCTAACTTTCTTATGGATAAAACTTGAACATCAAAATTAAAGCCTAAAAGAAGATCTTCATGTCAATCTGTGTCCATTTTACTCCTCTATAGTGTGTAGCAGTCTTTATTTAGAAGACAACAACAAAATAAAGTCTTCGATGTCACAATCTAAAAGTAATAACTTATTTTATCTTCACTAAAGCAATCACTTCTTTTAATTCAATCCTAATTGGCTTACACTTCAAAGATAGACCTTTTAGAAAGTATAACATATGAACTATGAAGTTAACTTCTGTAGTATATTATCTCTCGACAATATATGCAATGAAGTCAATTTCAGGGACCGAGAAAGTGAGAGGTACACAACCCACATTAATTGAATATTTTAAAGTTTTTTCAGTGGCAACAGTAGATTCTCTGTACGTTTTGCCATTTTTTGCAAAATTTAGTGGTCAATACTTCCTTTACACCCCTCCCCCTCAATCGTAGATCCTTCGCGCGGCTCCTGGACAATTCATGAAGAGACGAACTGTCATTGTAGTATCTATTTTCATTAAACATTAGAGGAATTTCCAGTATGTGTCATAGAATTCGTCTTCAAATAAAAAGTGCAACATTTGAATTGTGTTCAACACAAAGAATTGATTAAAAGTATAAATCTTTCAAAATCGTTCGATAACTTTTACTTTCATCTAAAAAAGCAGTATGGATTCTCCTTATCGATATCTCAAGAAATAAATTCATTCAAAACGTTATTCTAACTACGTGAAATAGGCTCTGAATTTTTATTATTCTAATGAAACTCATAGAAGAATATGCGTAAATAATAATGAAAAAAAGTATTTCGAATGAGTTTACTTTTTCTGGACGTTCCCTCAAAAGAATCTAGGCTGAGTTTTTTTGAACAAAAATAAAAGTTATGGTACTTTTTGTTGAAAGATAAATAGTTCTGATTAGTTCTTTGTGTTGAACACAATTCGAATGTTGTACCTTTTATTTGGGGTAGGGTGATATTTTCTTTTTTGTTTTTTTGTATTGTGAAGAGAGAAAGAGAGACATACAATGTATTTCAATAGCGAACTGTGTAATTCATATATGATACTTTCAAGACGGTACATCTTTGGAGTGTAAACGAACTAGGATTAAATCGACAGAGATTATTGTTTTGTTTAGAATAAAACACGTTATTACTTGTAGATTGCGATATTGAAGACCCTATTTTGTTATCGTCTTCTATATCAAGACTGTTTCATATTGTAATTGGGCAAAGATTAGCATGTTCATATTCGTTGAAGATTGCATTTTCAAGTACAAATTTTATTCAAAAAAAAAAAAAAAAAACCCAACTCGAGAAATTTAGTCAGGCTATATATGAAATCTTAAGCTTAAACAGTAAAATGTCTGTAAGCTATTCTATGGTATTGTCGGCTCCATCGTTAAAAATATTTTAGGTTTTTGCTTTTGTTTTTATTTATAAATAAAAATAGAAATAAAACTGATTATAAAGAATATTTTATTTAATTCCTGTAAATATAACTATTCATAAAAGAAACAAAACTTGTCTTTTTATAGTTTTAATAAATATTTGACATGAGAAAGTCGACAGATGAAGCTTTAAAATTTGTCAATGTTACCATTGACTGTGACAAGCTAAATAATGAATAGGTAATTATTCTTAAGAATGATATATTTTTGACATTAGTAATTAATAACCATCGAAAGTAGCATAAAATAAATATTCCGAAATAACCACTAACTATAGAAGTTTATACACATTAAGACAATTGGTTTCTAAGATTCTATTATAATTATCTATTTTTCAATAGAAAAAAAAGTAATTAACAGAATCTAATGTATGTCATTCGATACGAATTAGTTGATGAATAGCCTTTTCTTCTAAGAATGCCAGACTTATAGAGAAAAAAAATAAGAAACTAACAAAAGAATTACTCTGAATCTTAATCGTCAACAAAAGCCGAATTAGCGACTTTTGTTGTTTTATTATGTAAATATTTTTTACAATCGGGATAAATACGTTCTTGATCGATAGGGTTGTCAAATAAACTCCATTATAACTAATAAATCTAACATTCTCAATCAACTACTCGAAATTAGCTAAAAGTCATTCTTAACGCGATAAACATTGATTGATTGTTTTCTTAACACTAATAAAAAAAAATTCTAGTATGACATTGATCAGCATGATTTTGTTTTTATTACCATATTCGTTGTCAATGCTATTTTAGTCATATTTATATAATAATTTATTTTAACGTCACGAAAAAAAATCATCCAAGATGTTTAATTATTAAATATCTTACGAACAAACTCTTCTAACTAGTATTTTCCATTTGACCTCATATTATCCTACTTGTTAGGGTTCATGATGCAGATAAAAGTCTTAAAAGGATTTTTGCCATTAGCGTTTTATTCTCTAAATTATAATTATTTTACTGAAAACAAGTCCGTTTTTTCAGTATACAATATTTTGAGAAAAAAAACTATACGGTTTGGCTTAGACTAATAGGATATTAAAAGAGCTATGAGATCTATTTCAAGATAAAATTTCACACTAAAATTCCTTATTTCAGTTGTCTTCGTAATATATTACAATAAGCTAACAATTCAGTAAAATGATCATACTTTCAGAAAAAAAGCGTTAATGGAAAAAATTCTGTTAGAACTTATATCTACAACATGGTCAGTGATGAATAATAGTAACGGGTGTATCATCAATAATAGGTTTACCAGTATTTCGCATGTATTTCGATAGTATGAAAAAGATGAAGAAGCGAGTTTATTTTTCATAGATGCATCTTTTGATTCTCTACAATCTTATATATTTCAACTGATTCGATTGGGATTGATTACTTTGAAGGCGACGAAATAGATATATCTAAAAGCCACAACCTTCGAAAAAAAAAACACTTTTTGTTGAATTTCGTTCTATGCAGCTTAACTTTTGAGTAAGCTTTTTTTTTTTCGATCTCTGAATTAGTCTGCATCAACAAAGGATAAATACATATGACAAATGAACTATTCTAAACATGTCGAAGTCACTTTCTTTGTATATGAAAAAGAAGTGCTTACAACTTTCGTTTTCATCTATAAACGATTGTAGAAAGTGTTATCTATCCAAGTTTGAATTATTTATTAGAAAAAAATTCAAATTAACCCTAGAAGAAAACACTTCTAGAAAGTATTTTATTAATAAAAGTTTTTACAGCAGCATTTATATTGAAAACTTATCTCATAATCAGGATCGATTTTGGTTCTATAATTATTACAGATGATTCAAACGCAGCAAATCTATTGACGTGCATTGAAATCGACTCAGTTCTGTCGATTTTAACCGACTTCCAGAAAACTCTATGATACAACACTTTCAAAAAGTACAATCAGTATTTGTCCAGTTAGAATCACATGAAAAACTATCGGTATTGATATATGGAATTGTCATGTGCGATTTTATCTCAGGTTTTGGAAATTTTCATAGACTTGAACAAGTGCATATCATGGCTGTGGAATCGATACACGAACCGATTATCTTTCGAACTAAGTGATTGAAAAAACTTATTTAGGAGTTAAAGTGCTTAGAACGAAAATTGATCAAGAATTTTGTCTTGAAAGCCGTGGATTTTAGATATATCTATTTCGTCGTTGATTTCCAAATAACAAATTCTAAAATGGAATCAGTTAAAATGTGTAAGTTTGTAGAGAATTAAAATATTCATCTATTTAAAAAGATTTGTCTCTTCACGTTTTCATATTATCGAAATATATGTAAAATATTGAGAAGTTCATTATTTATGGCCCACGCGTTAAAATTATATTTTGTGGATTTTAAAATTTTGCTTCTTAGAAATATGCGTCGAAATGAAGATTATATGATTGATTCATTCATATGATAGATCAACTAAAATTTATTCTTATAAGTAAATCAACAAAAATTTTCTTTTTCTTTTTCTTTTTTATTAAAACAAAATTTAAGTAAAGAGATTTTTTGTTATCAAACAAATCTATAAACACAATCTTTAAAGTTAATATACTTTAGAAAAATATCACTTTTTTAAAGATAATTTATTGTTGATTATTTATCTAAATAAAAACCGCCACTCTTTATTATATTTTTTTTAAATCGGAAACAATGTTAATATTTAATCTATGATTAATTAATTGATTTAACATAAATATATATTTGGAAATAATTAAATAAAAATGAATTTAACAAACGAATTTAATCAAACTGATGAAAATTCTCTTCTAATTGATCATGAAAAAATATACAAAAATAAAATCGAAGATAATTTATATGATGTTAAAGAAATTATGAATCAGTCAATAAACGATAAATATGAAAGAAAATTGAATATATCAACAGATATACATGAAACATTCAAACCTCTGATGAACAATGATAGTTTAGATCAAATTCATAAAACTATTCTTCATGCTTCTCAATGTAAACTTATTACTGATAATGGTGATGTTATTCATTGCTTGAAAAATAATTATGAAGATTTTCAATCATTGATAAAATCAGAATTAATTATTGATCAATCAATTGATTATTTTTTAAAACATGATCAATTGGAAGATGATGGACTTGTTGAACCTAATACAACACCAGAAGAATCTCTAACATTAAATGAATATGAACATTTTAATTTTGATAATTATATTAATGATAATGAAGAAGAAGAACAAAATATAACAACGAAATTTCATCATCATCATGTTAAAACAAAATATAGTTTCAAGATTGAACATCCTTTAACACATGTCGATAGTCATAATGCAATACTAATAGAACAAGAATTAACAGTTATACCAGATGAAGAAAAACAAAATGACAAGTTTCAATCTTTACTTTTTAATAATGAAATTCAAAAAATGGGTGAAAATTAAAAAGAAAAAAAAATTAATCTTTATAAATATTATTTTTTAATTTACTTTTAGAAAAGATTAATGAAGAACAGAATATAATTCTATCTGAAAAAAGTGATTTGAAAGATTTAAATCCATATGAACCTTGTCTTGTTCAATCATTAATACATGATAAATCAGAAAAAAATGAATTCAATATTATTCCTATTACCAAATATTTTTATCAAGATAATCAAAGTATCAAATCGAGAAAAAATATTCTCTCAAATTTTCACTTGATATTATTTTCTTTAGGTTCTATTAATTCTTTATTCATATCTCATATTTGTCTTATCAATATTGAACATTGTATTACTTCAAAATGTTTTATAATTCCTCAATTTATTGAAAATAATATTGAATCTTTTAATTATTTTCAACAATTCTGGTCACCTTATGTATATTTAACAAAATTCATTAATTCTAATAGATCAAAAAATATTTTATCTATTAATTGTTCATTATTCATTTTATTTTCTAAGTTTATTATAACTGGATTATATCTATTCTATTATTATGTTAAAATTCTTCGATACGATATTTTATTATTTAGTTTTTATTATTTATTAGGTTCACTTTTTGGAATGAATGCATATTTATTTATTGATTTTATTTTATTTATAACTTTTATTACTTGTATTTGTATGAGTATTTATAAAAAATGGTTATTTTATTACATTAGGTTAAACAAATATGATAATAATGATAATGAATTAAATAATGTTGAAAATAAAAATCAATATTCGAGACTTATTAAACTGATTGCATTTGGATTCATAATAGGAACTATATCAACTTATTTTATCTAAAATTTCATCGAAATAAACACTTTCATACATAATAATAAATGAAAAACAAAACATTTTCTCAATTAAATTAAACTAAATATTTAACTATTCAAACAATCGAAGTGAAGAACAAAAAAACTCAAGAAATTTTGTAAAATCTTTTTAAATGTTGATGTGTTTGTTCATTAAGCTTTTAGATTAATTGCATATTCATAATTTTGGTTTTTTTTTAAACGATATTTTAAAATCTTGACAATGTAAAAAACACATTTCATTTTCATCTTTTATTGACATTGTATAAATGACGAACCAATCTTCAGCATTATTTTCATTCAATTGAAGTACATACGTGTAGAGTTCTGTATCTTGACAAAGAATATTTTTTAAAGAGTTTGCGTCTTTTATTCCACTTGAAAAAGACAAATAAAGAGAACAGGTGATTGTTAACTATTGACTATCGGTTGCCGTTGTTTTCTCTTTTCAAACATGTCTATGTTAAAATAAGAAAGAAAAAAATACATTTTAATAGTTGCATGTGTGTGTTTGTATGTGATGTATGTATTTAAAAATGTTTTTCTTTCGATTTATTTTAAAATTTTATGTAGATAATTACAATAAGATAAGATGGTTGATTGGGCTACACAAAATCGTCTTTATCCACCTGGTTATCATCCAATTGATATTCGATGTCGACGAACTAGTATTGATTCTTCATTACCATTTTCGATCGCATCAAACAAAAGTAATATTTCGTTTTGAATTATAAAAACGAAATTTATTCTTCCTAACTATGATTAATAGGACACAGTTGTCGCTTAAACATAAAACAATCAAAAAAGTTTAGTAATAATCATATATTAATTGAAAGTCTTCATCAAGGTCTTAATCAAGCATTTTATTTTCATGATAATATGTCTGCCGATGACAATGACGACAGGTATAAGATATATCAAACTAAACTAGATTACATATAAGTTTAAGATATCTTGTACTTCCGTGTTTCCTGTAAAAATAAAAGAAGGAGATGAAACATTGTGAATGCCACATAAATTTGTAGTCAAGGTCTACATAAACCATCTATTCTAGATTTTATTGACAATAGAGTAAAGAAAAAAAAAAAAACTTCAAGTTTTTTCTAGTAGGCAAAAGTTTGAGGCACTTCTAGTATTTTGATCATTATATTGTTATTGAAAAACAGAATTTTGATAAATTATTAGTTATAAAGACTTAATGTTATTAATTATTAATTAGAAAAATGTTTTATTGAAAATTGAATAATATAATATATTTTTGTTTTACAATAACTCTTTATAATAGGACTTTTTTTTTGAAAAACTAATTAAAATCTAACGAATAACCTATTAATACTTAAGAAAAGAAGGCGTAAACTAAACCATAGACTTGAGAATTTTAGAAGATAGTATATTTATTTCTAGAGCAAACTCTATTTTATTTTAGATGATCTTGCAGTCTTCTGTGTAATATGTTCATCATAAAATATAGCAATCTGACTATACAAAGATATAGATCAAGCGAAAAATAGCTGAAAATCATCGTTGAAATTAGTGATTAACGATAAAAGTGATCTATTTCTTAAGATTCTCAAGCCTATGGTTCAAGCTCTCGTTTCTTAAGAATTAATAGACTGTTCATTAGGTTTTAATTAGTGTTTCAAAAAACAAAAACAAGTGCTGCTATAAAGAATTGTTGTAAAACAAAAATACATTGTATTATTCAATTTTCAATATTCTTTCTAATGAAATACTTGAAGATCAAAATTTAAAACAAAAAAGAAATTTCTCTAATTAGTAATTAATAATATTAAATTATTATAATTAATAGTTTTTTCAAATTTCTCTCTTTTTTTTTTTTTTATTACGATGTAATCGCAAAAATACTAAAAGTGTCTTTAACTTCTGCATGCTGAAGAAAACTTGAAGTTTCTTCTTTTTCTTTACGCTATAATCTCAATTTGATCTAAAACAGGTGGTTTGCGTAGACATTGACTCTAACTTAATATGACACTCAATATGTGTCATTTATTTCTTTTGTTTTCACAGAAAACACGGATGTAAAAAGTGTCTAAAACTCTCACAGTCTACTTTGGTTTGATAAATTTTGAATGTCAATTTAAAATAGAAATCGAAAATTACTTGCTACTTATGCTTCAAATATAAATTGGCCTCGTTCTGTATGCTGTTTATCTGGGAGTGATGGTTCATTAATTGTATGTGAACAAGATCGATGTCGTCTTCTTCTTTTCACTTCTCAATTAATGCTTAGTTCAACTTGTGGTGGAAAACGAGGCAATGATCTTTATGAATTTGATTCACCATGGAGTGTAGCTTCATTTTTTGAAAGATCATTATCAAATGTATTAGTTGCTGATACAAATAATCGTCGAGTACAACATTTTTTAATTGAATATAGTGGAAAATTTTTATATAAACAATCTTTTATAACAAAAGAGAAACCTTTCTTCGTTGGAACAAGTAATCAACATTTTGCAATATCATGTGAAAAGGGTCTTATTATAACTTATTTAATTAAAAGAAAAATGGAAGTAGCAAAAATTGATTTAAATCGAACATCAATAATACAAAGTAAAATAATAAATTAATAAGAATTAATACTTGTTACTTTTTATTTTTTGTTTTGTTTTGAACTATTCTATTTTAGATTCTATTCAAAGTGCTCTTCCATTTTGTATGGATCCACAAAATAGTTTTCTTTTTTTGAGCAATTCTGTTTCATCAATTGGTATTATTCATCAATTAACAATAACTGGTGAATATCTTCGTTCAATTAAACTTGATAATTATCCATTTCTTCGTATATCTTCTCTTACATTTGATAATTATGATCAGCAATTAATTATTGTTGACTCATTTAATTCTATTATTTATTCTCTTGAACATGATTTAGATGAAGATAATGTTGAACTCTTATTAAAACGTTCTGACAATTTGAATAGTCCACAAGCCTTATGTGTTAGTAATGAAGGTCATTTAATTGTTGTTGAATGTAGTGTAACAACGCAACATACTCTCAAAGTATTTCGATATCATCCATGTTCATGCCATTCTCGTGTAGCAACATCTAGTATTAAAACAAGTGAAACAACAAGTGTACGATCATTGATTTTTCCATATTAGACGAAATGCATCGATGAGAAGAAAGAATTCATCTTTCAATACATTTGTGTTAAAATATATTTGTAGCGTTTTCTTTTTTTAAAGTTTTCATTTTTATTTGTACGAATTTCTTTTATAAATATTATTTATTAAAAGTGACATTTTAAGACATAAGTCGAAGGAAAAAATGAATAAATAATCTTAAAATTCTTTTAATTGAATATTCATAATTAATAATTTCACACATTTTAAATTAAATCAACAGAATTAAATCAATGATCTAGTTAATTTCAAGACTAACTCTGAACATACTCGATTTCTAAGCTCGTTCTGAATCGTGTCTTTATTAATCAACAAATAAAAGAAAAACATCTAAACATTTCTTAAGCCAAATTTCATTGTAATAATACAATCTGAAATCTAAAATATACAAACGAATCATTCAAATAGCTTCATAAGATTATTCTAGTCATTGAATTCTAATACTCAACTTTAATTTGATAGAAGTTTTTATCGGCGAAAAAATACATATAAATTATTAGCTATTAGATTCTATCCATGTAAACAACTGCTTTCTAACGAATTTTTCTATTAATGGTGAAACTAGTGGCAACTTAAAAAGTGAATGTAGATGCTCGTGAAGAGATAACGTTGACATATGCACAGTTCATACGGTGTTTAATTGAATGTTACAATGACACAAAGATGATGTCTTCAGGTTCGAAAAAAAAAACGTATGACATACATAGTAACAATGATGTATAGTGAGCTTTATTAATTGTTGTTAATGAAAAAGAAAATGAAAGTATTCGTTTAGCATATTCTACAAATTGCAGTTAGTTAATAGTAAAACTGAACTCATAAGTTTTCTTAAAATTGTACTCAAGAAGTTTTCAAAAATTTACAAAATAATGAAAATTTAAAACTCTGGATTTTATTTTTATTTCAATGGTTTAAATTAAAAAATCAATGAAATTGAGTTCAACAGCTTTAATATTGCAATTTTGTTTTTTGCTAATGAAAAATACACTTGTGACAAGTCAATTTATGCAGATTTCCTTGATGTCTGATAAATGAAACACAATCTCAGTCACTACGACTGGCTTAGCGTCGTATATAATCGAGGGAGACATAATGTGGAGAACTATAATCTGGAGTGAAAATAATGAATCATAATATAGTGCTCTACATGAAGTCTTAGTGTGTTGTATAGAACGTTGATTTTCTCACACGTAGTGTTAATAATCTATTATTTATTATCCGTTTCAAAATATAATGTGCTCCACTGTTTTTTGAATAACTTTTCATAGGAACATTGTAGAGACCTGCGGTTTTCGCCATTCAAGAGAGGACACCGGGGGACATCGAAACATATTCGAAATTTGATTGGTCAGCTATTAGCCAATCAGGTAAGTTGTAGGTGAAACTTTTGTGAACGATATTCCAAAGTGATTTCTATTTTGATTTTGACTTGCAATA